GAGAAAACAGGTTTTAAATATTATTTGGCAGTGAGGAGATAATTCAGAGTTGCTTGTGGCCAAAGACACTTGTTGAAAAATTATCAGAGAGAGATTTTAGTATTAAACCAACTGGTATCTTAGTCTTTCAGCTACCATCACGCTATCATGCAATTTTTTAATTAGTTCAGAAAATAATACACACCCTTAAAAAAAAAAAAAAAAGTATTTTGAAATGACCTGATCTTCGAATCAAATTCAGCATACATGCAATTTGCCTTCATCTTTTTTTTTTTTCAGATTTTTTTTTTTTTTTTTGGTAGCTGGACATAAACCTACCATAAATGTTAAAGCAATGATGACACTTCATCACAGGCCACGTTACAGAACATGCTGTACTACAGATATCCCAACTTCCTGTCCTGTGAGTGGACAGGCAGGACTTGAGATGCTCTGAGGAAAGATCAACATGCACTAAATGAAGTAACTGACAAAAGCTGGCTGATATTATCCACACTTTCCTTTATTACTTGATATTATTTGTTTCAGCAACAATTTTGGATTATTATTTGTGTAATTCAAGGGATTTCTCCAGCAAATCCTGCAGTACTTGTCAACAACTTTTTTGCTAAATACACTCAATACCCAGTATCCAAATTTCTTTAGTGACACCAGATGAAACGCAGCAGGCTTTCCAAGAGCTCAGAAATGTTCTGAATGTATTCCTGCAGGTAAAAGAGATGTCTGTATAGTGTATTGTACCAGTTACTGCTACCACCATCACCTTCAGTGGAAGTTAATAAGACATTATTGGGAACAATTTTGGCAGAACAACCAAGAACTAGTATAGCACCAAAACCAGAAAAAGTTCATCAAGGCCATGAATCCTTCCCAGTGTCTTTTAAGGGTCTCACAGCATGTACAACAACATACATATGTTATATCAGGTGCTAGTGTCTATGCTGTTATCAATGTGAACCTAATTCATCAAGGTTGCTGAAAGAAAAGGATGAATTAAAAAAAAAAAATAAAAAAAAGGAAAAAATTCCTAGCACGCATTCACATATTGCAAAGCCACTAATAGAGTAAAACAACTGAGTTTAACAGACTCACACCATATCCAAATAAATGCTAAATAGCTAAGTTTTGTTCCTTCCCGTCTTTCATTTCCTACTCATGAAACATAGCTAAGAATCTCTTAACACGATTTCCATTTTCTTTTCCTTGCCTTCTGCCTTTCGATCTTGCTAAAGGCCCTCTTTCTATTCACTTAATCAACTCCTTTTTCAAATGTAATTCAAAAAACCTAAAAATCCCATTTTTCCTTGCATTTCTCACTTAAGTGAGACAGAGGAAAGCAGAAATGAAAGAATTTAAACTAGAGTTATGCACAGTGAATAGATTTAACTGAAATACCCGTCTCCAGCATTCACCTCTACACTGTCCATACAGAAGATAATCTCTTTGTGTTCTCCTAGGAGCATAAAAAGCATTTTAGAGATCATTAACTTCCATTATGGCCCTGCAAAAGCACTAGATATGAAAGAAAAGAAAGGACAGGAATAGATTTCAATTTAGTATTGATATCAAACACCAATGATACCTTAGCACTTTAAACAAATCACTCCACAGTATGTAATAACTTAGATGCAGGCTTCTAATGGAATTGGTTTCCAACATGATTGCTAGGACCATTGCTTGGCATACAGAATGCAACACAATCACGAGAAACAGCTGTGGCATATATTTTGAGAAGTTTCCCTATCCATTTTTCAGCCACAAAACAGGATGTACTTTACTGATGTCATCATTCCTGAAAAAAGTTTAACCAACCGGTTTTTAAAACAAGATTCTGCAACCTGTCCAAATTATATCAATAATTCTTTTTCTTACCACCTAACCTAATCTTTTTCACTGCAATTTAAGTATCTCCCTGCTTTTATTATCCATAGTCAGTATATAGAAAAGCCTACATGCATCTACAATGCAGCTGCCTTTGTACATTCAAAACTCAGTTATTTTCATTTTTTTTCCTTGAATACGCCAAACATTTCTGACTGCCTTCATTACTCTGTGCACAGCATGTCCTAGGCTTGTGATCTTTATTTTCTACTGAAACTTCTTCAGTTGACCAGTATGATGTGTGCTACTGTGCTGGGTCTGTCTGGGATGGAGTTAACTTTCCCTGCAGCAGCCCACACAGTGCTCTGCTCTGTTCATATAGCTAGAACAGCACTGATATCACTCCAGTGTTGTGTCTATTGCTGCATAGTGCTGGCACTGCAGCAGGACTCCCTCCAAGCCCCCAAGAGCCGTCAGGCTGGGGGTGGGCAAGTGATGGGGAGGAGACATCACCAGGGCAGCTGACCTAAACCGACCAAAGGGATATTCCATACCATGTGGGGTCACACTCAGCAATACAAAGAGGGGTTCTCGTGGTGGAAGGCCCTGTCCTCCTGAACAACTGTTACATGTATTGAGGCCCTGCTTCCCAGGACATGGCCGAACATCGCCCAACGATGGGAAGTAGAGAGGAATATTCTTCCTCTCTCCCTGTGCTTCTGCACAGCCTTTTTTTCTTCTTTCTCCTTCTTCCTTTTCCCTTTAATTAAATCATCCGTATCTCAAACCTTGAGCTCTTTGTGTTGCATTTTCTCCCCTTTCCTCTTTGAGGAGGAGGAGTGAGAGAGCGGCCATGGTGGAACTCAGCTGCCCACCCAATTAAAACCACCACAGCTACACAAAATGGGGCAAAGTACTCCTAACAAAACAAGACTGTATCATGTATTTTGTAGACTGTAATTCTGTTTTACATCCTGTGTGATGGAGGACTTTTCCACAGTGGCAGAAAACTGTTGATTCATGTTCAGCTTTTTATTCAGTACAACATCCAGATTCATTCTTAAGGAACAGCTGCATAAGCTATTTTTATTTTTCTCATTCTGTGTTGCTGCAGCTGTCTTTGCCCAAGTGGTACTTGCACATGCCCACAGGGAGCCACCATTTACTTTTACTTCAAATATCTTCTCTAAACTGCATCATTTTGAATCCCAAGTCAGTCCTTCAACATGTCTGCAACACCTCACAGTTTCATGTCACCAGCAAATGTAATTGGTAAACTCATGTGCTGCATCATCTAAGTCCTAAACTAAAACACTGACCAGTAAAAACCCAGATGAGAATTCTGCTCTGTATCACTGCTTATTTTGATAATGAAACGCTCTGAGAACAGAGCTTCGTAGTTCTCCAGGCAGGACTGCAATCACACTGACATAATTTATTTTGGGGCACAGTCCCCCTTGTTTATGAGCTTTTGAGAACAGTATGAAAGAAGGTTCACTAAAGTCAAATTATAAGACATCTACAGATCCTCCTCTATCCATGAGGTCTGTCATCCTATCAAAGAAGGAAATTAAATTGCTTTTGACATTATTTGTTTTTGAGCCAGCTCTTACTCATCGTTCTGTCAGCTTCTCTCAGCTTTCAGACAGTCATGATGTTTCAGTTTTTTTAGAGAAGTTAAAGGTAATCTGACAGGGCCAACAAATCCCTTGTTCTTCCTTTCTTTGTATTTTAAAGAACAGCATTATATTTGCCATTCTCCATTCTGTCATCTCACCTGAGCCCCATCATTTCTGAAAGGCACAACACTCAGGTCACCTCAGGAACTGACTGAAGCAAACCACAAGGAGTAGTTTTTCAACATTTCACAAAATCAAGTACTTGAACATGGTTCATCTTAAAAGAGGTGAAACATTATTCTCTTGTTCTCTGGTTGCATCCCCTACTGAATGCAAGAGAAGTTTAAGGCATCTAACAACCCTTAGAGGTTAGCCTTCTAAAACTGAAGTTAGAGGACACAAACCCTAAATTCCATGTCCTGCTGCGTTAATTCTTCATTAACTGTCTATGTAGCCAAAGTCTGACATAACTACTATTTTGGATTCACTTTTTGATACAGCTTACAAAAAGCTTTACCTTCCTGATATTAGTTTGATATCCTTTAAAAAATGAACAAACAACAAAAACCCCACTTCCTCTGTGACATTACTGATTCTTCCCCTTTTAACATAGTTATTTTATCACATCTTTTCCTGATGTATGTAATTCCCTCATGGATGTAACAACATCCAGTTCCTACATCACGATACTTAACTAAGTCCTATTGCACAATACACCTCTCCTTTCCTTCGTGGTTATCTTGCTGAGTCAAGCTACGAAATTCCATATTACTATCCCAATCAAGGGCAATATTCCTTCAAGTATATATGACGTAAATACACATATTTTTGAACATATAAAATCTCTGTTTATTCATTTGATATCCTGTGTTAAAATACCAATTCTATGCTTTTTCAGCACTGTGTATCCTCCTCCATTCTCCGTACTTAACATTCTAACAGTGAGAAATGTGAAGATTAATCTACCTCCTTTTGTTTTACCTCCCACCGTGGCACAGCTTACTTGAGAACTCTCTCTAATTCTAAACAACCAGGGGAAAAAATATTGTAAATACACCCTTCTCCCTTTATGCAGAAATGCTCAGTTACTGTAAACACAGGAAAAAGCAAGGATAAAACCATGCCTTGAAATGTTTGGACTCACGATTTTTACATCTCTTTCTTTACAAATCCACCTACCACATCAGTCAGAACGTACCATCCTCGCTTATTCTTAATTTTGTTTTGTTAATTTTCAATTACAAGATTCTTACATTTCTGTCTTACTGTGAATAGACTGTCACTGTTTTGTAACTGATTTTCAGAGCACTGCACACCAACGACCTAGTATATGTGATGCTTGCAGCTTTCTTTAGAAAGCAAGCTAGTTGAAACTAACTTGGAACTAGAAAAAAAGATACTGCAAAATAGTGCAGCAAATCAAAACACCAGAAAGCTTCTTACCTTGTTTATCTGCTATGCATATATTTGTATGCTAAGAGGAGATAGAACTAACACCAGCGTAAAATTACTCACAGAGAATTAATCTTTAAGTGTATCCATAAAAACTGCACAACTTACGCAATTTTAGCACACACCGAGCATTTCCAGTGCCCATCAGCTCCCACGACACGACACTTAGTGCACACTCTAAGTTTGCAGGTTTGGCACAGGTCTCCTCTGTCAAAGATTAAGCCCAGGCTTTTCTGACAGCGAATACAGACTCTGCTGTTGTCCTGTTGACAGTGTCGATTTCCACCTTTCCTTCTCACTTCCAGAAGTTCATTTTTCAATTTCCTAGAAGAAAGAAAATAAAGGGCTTGAATTTGGAGATACATCTGATTTTTGTATGGTATTAGGATGAAACCTTTTGGAGATCAAGCAACATTTCCATCTTCCTGTGATTTGTAAAAACTTTCGAACCGATTAAGATTTAGCACTAAGAACTACAAGACACAAATAAGGACAATGTAACTGTGTTTTATATATTAACTGTATTTCTAACACATACGTGGCAAAGAAGAATACATCTATCCTCAACCTCTCAGACATAAAGCCAAGAGGAAAATATGCAGCCTTGAGGTTGGTGTGCAGATAGCTGAGCAGTTCTGAACCACTGGCAAACCATCTTTGCCTGTCCCTCATCAATAATTCAAGTCATGCTGAGCCCAGGTTGACTGCAGCTCAAAACTGGGACTATTCTGTGCTTCCACGGTAGAAAAAGAAAATCTTTCCTGTAACTGGTGTGCATTTAATACTCTGCCAGAGTAGAGTTAGCTAGGAAAACAGATGCAATTCTGCACTGGCCATTCAAATCTTGAAAGAAAACAAAAGCAAACACCTAAATAGATGTAGCATCACAGCATAACACCACTAAATTGAAAAAAAAAAAAAAAGGGGGGGGGGGGGGGGGGAAGAGAATATCAGTTTAAATAACGCAACTTGAATGCTACCAGTTCCAACCACTGACCCTGAAGGATAAAGGTATCTGCATTTAAGACCTGCTTTATAGACTGTAATTTCAAGGGTGCATAAGTCAAGTCCTTAAGGGAAAAATAACCTTATGTGAAAAATAACTACTACAACATTCCCAAATAAAAATAACAACAACAATAATAATATCTAGGGACTTAAGCAGGACTCCGTCATAACCCAAACCTCTCACTAACAACTCCTTGTACCTCAGTTCCTGACCTCTGCTCCAGAGCTTTCCCTCCCACACCAGAGCCTTGAGCTTTCACCCCTCACACCCCAACCCACAGAACTATCTAGGTTGGAGGTCACATAGCTTAAACTGGTGCTTAAGGTTGGAGGTCACATAGCTGAAACATGGCCAACAAGAACAGGTTGCTCAAGGCCCTGTTCAAACGAACCTTGAGTAACTCCAAGTGAAGAGAGCACACAATGTCTCTGGGCACCGGTCCCACAGTCCGACCAACTGTATGATTTTCTTTACAAAACAAGGAGTGGAATAAAAAAGCTTCCATAATATCTAATCAGAATCTCCCATATTCCAGATTGGTCACAATGCTTCTTGTTCTTTTACTGTCGTGGAGACCAGAACAATTTTGTTCCACTACAGGCCTGAGAGGAGCAGTTGAAGACAGCCACCAGGTCTCGCCTTTGCCTTAATGCTGAGCAAACCCATTTCCTTCAGCCTACAAGACGTAGAAGGGGCTCCAACCATCCTTATGGTCCTCCATTGAACACGCTCCAATGTGTCAGCATTTCTCTTGTACCAGGGAGCCCCCAGATGGAAATTCTCTTCCAGTTATGGTCTCACAAGTGCACAGCAGAGGAGATAATCACTATCCTCAACTGCTAACCTACACCCTGCATGGGGTCAAATTTGCTTTGTCCTCTCAACACACCTCAGCAGAAGCTCTGTCCACTCAACCCCCAGGCTCCTATTATCCTCTCAATTTTCTCAATACATCCCTGCCCACCTCAGACTCTCTCCTGACTTTCCCTCTGTCGAAACCTCTCTCATTTCAAGTTCCTCTGCCTTTTCAAACCCTTTCCATGCTCCAATCTACCCCAGAAGATCCCCTTTCCAGGGCCCCAGTTCAGCAGTGCTTAGTTCCCTTGGCTTTATGCAGCTGGGTATTGCTGTCTCCCCATCCCTTTCCTCCCCTATTTCATGCACTGCCACCAGCCTCCAGGGCCCCTCTGCCATGAAGCACTGCAGCTAACTGGACTCACCATCTCCACACATACCTCAAGAGAGATTTAAAACACCTGGTTACCAGTTTCACTTAAGGATCAGTGAAAAGGTCAGGAAGAAAAAGACCTTGTGAAAACAAAGCCAATAAAAGATTACGGGCTGCAGCCCCAGTGAAGGAGGCTGAGTGCACTGTGTAGGTCACCAGGGGCTAAGCTCTGACAGCAGTGGGTTATTTGTGGCTACGTGGCCTTGTTACAGGGATGGCTGGCATTTTGCTTCCCACTGGGGTATCCAGGAACGAGAGCCTATGGACACTGACGTTATCTTTTTAGTACCTAGCAGTGTGTCCTGCAGGCTGGATCCTAGCACCTAATGTCAAAACAAAACCTTCGCTGAACTCCTTCCATTCTGGCCTCCCTGCCTACTCTCCACCCCAGCTTTCAGGTCCCTCCTTAATAAGAAACATCACCGGGCACAACATATGTGTTTTAAATAGTTACAATTTTAAATAAGGAAATCTCTCTCTCCCCAAACCAACAAGCAGAGATTTTTAAACAAGAGCTTTCTTTGAGAGCAACATGTTGAGAAATACTTATCAATGTTTCAGAGTTCCTTCGGCATTACAAAGGCATTGCTTCTATTATCCTGTTATTATTGATGGTAGCCACAACGGTATTTTCCTCTTTTCATGCAATACAAAAATCTCGAATTCTTATCAGATGCTGGTTGATCTACCAACACCATGAATTTCGAAAAGTGTGATTTGTTGGTTTTTGAATACAGATCTGCCTTCAAGGACTATTGGGAAACCAAAATAAAATAAATCAATCCACAGCTTTCCTGTTCACTGAAACATGTAAAATATGAAAATCAAAATGCAAGCAAACAACGTATGGACAGGTATACTGAATCTGAACTATGGGATTCCCTAAACCACTTACTGAATTGAACTACTGTTTGACTGTAACAAATATGTTTGTGTCTTATGAAAATAAAGAACGAAATGTCTTGAGGGCCAGAAAGATTAGAAGGCAGTAGGTGAGTCATCTGAAAAAAATCCATCCTCATAACAGCCACGGCCTAGTTGCACCAGCTACGTAATACTGAACAGGGATTGCATGTGCGTAAGTATGTACGTGGTAATCAGGCACGTAGCTGGCCTGACTTACCAATAGATACCCTTTATCTCCCCAGTATGGGAACCATCTGTATCGTAAACATCCAATTTCCTTTTGCCATTCAACATTTGAGCACTCCTTATTTTTAAAGGAACCTAATTAATCATGCAGTTAGACATTTTTAATCTCAAATATTAAACAACAATTAATCTTTATTGATCCTCTCCTAGTAATATTATGAAATGAGAGAATCACAGAATGATTTGGGTTGGAAGATCACCTGGTTCCAACCCCCTGCCATGGGCAGGGACAGCTCCCACCAGCCCAGGCTACCCAAAGCCCCATCCAGCCTGGCCTTGAGCACCTCCAGGGATGGGGCATCCACAGCTTCTCTGGGCAGCCTGTGCCAGGGCCTCACCACCCTCTGAGTAAAGAATTTCTTCCTAATACCTAATCATAGAATCATTCAGGTTGGAAAAGATCTCTAAGATCATCTAGTCCAATCTTTAACCTAGTAAAGTAATTTAAATCTACCCTTTTTTAGTCCAAAGCCATTCCCCCTTGTCCTATCACTACTCTCCCTGACAAAGAGTCCCTCCCCAGCTTTCCTGTAGGCTCCCTTTAGGTTTTGTAAAGTAGCTGTAAGGTCTCCCTGGAGCCTTCGCTTCTCCAGGCTGAACAATCACAGCTTTCCCAGCCTTTCTTCACGGAAGAGGCGCTTCCACCCCCGATCATCCTTGTGGCCCTCCTCTGAAGACTGCTTCTAATAGGTCCATGCCCATAGTAAACAGAAAATAAACTCTGCAGAAGCCAGTTTAATAAGCTATTGGAGAAAGAGTCCTATAATACACTGAAGTTTCTAAACCGTCTATAACAATAGCTGTTTGATGGATGATAGATATTAAGAATAAAATTGTTACTGGCAAGGGTAGTAGAATATTTTGCCATTCCTCTAGCTGTGAATTTATATTAAGATCTCTCTCCTGTTTGACAAAATACAGAAGTGCATTGAAGAAGAGTTTTGTTGTAACTAGTATTCCAGGCAGCACTGAATGACTTAATCTGAACTCTTCCATATGGGGTCTAAAATACCTTACTTATCAAAGCGGGAGACAAAGAAGACAACCTACAGCAAATTTAAGAAGTGGCTCATATCCCAAATTAGGTCCATCGAAAAAGTCAACATGAAAAGCTGAGGCCTTGAAAACATGAGGAAAAAAACATGCAGGCAGCAAAGCCAAGGAACGGCGAGCAGTCACAGCTCCTGGCTCTGTCACCGACCGCCTGCAAGAGGCACAAAACAGCCCCTGAAGGAGCCTGGCCCTTCCCTACCGACTGCCTCCTGGCTCCAGCCTTAAGAGAGACATTTTTCTTAATGCACTTTACCTCAGAGAACATTTATTCCCCAAGTTTAGAAAAGTTGAACAGTTATACTGCTCCACGAGGTGAGACAGGTACTGCTCAAGCCATTCACTTAAACAAATGTCATCAATGTAAGCATGATCTACTTGCTTTGACTCAGGTAACTCATTTCTTTCAAGCCCCCACTCTCTTCTTTTTTTGATAAGCACTATAGGAAACATGGAATACGTGATTCCTCAGTTTGATTTTTCAGATTGCTCCTGCATCTTCCTTCTCCTCCCCCTTTAAAAAAAACAAAAAACAAACAAAAAAAAACTTAAAAGATATAGAGCAACAGAATTCAAGTATTCCTAATTTTATTTTGCTATTCTAAATTTCCCAGAGTTCGAGCAGTGTAAAAAATTTCATTAAAAAAATAAATAAAAAAATAAAAAACAGAAACTGCTCTCACTCAACTATAATTGAAGACCGAAGCAGGGAAAGAAAAAAAAAAGTTTAAACATATGAAATTGCTCCAATCTTTGAAATTGCTCCAATCTTTGCAATGGCTTTAAACTAGAAGAGGATTTAGATTAGATATAAGGAAGAAATTCTTTACTCTGAGAATGGTGAGGCCCTTGCACAGGCTGCCCAGAGAAGCAGTGGGTGCCCCA